CCTAAAAACCCTAAACCCTACATCCTGGGTTTGGAGCGTGTTGGGATTGTAGGTTTTGGGACGATGGAGCCTTTTGGGCTCGGGGGCTTTGGGTTCTAGGATACAGGGCTTTTAGGGTTTATGAAGGGTTTTGGGTTCAGGGTTTAGGGTTTTTTGGATTTAGGGGTTAGGATTCAGTTTTTAGGGTTGAGGGTTCAGGGTTTATAGAGGATTTGGTGTGTATAAGGTTCCAGGGCTGACGCCGTTTAGGATGCATTGGGTGTAGGTCTTCTGATTTTAGGGACTCCCCTGCAATAGGCCCTGAGAACCCGTGCAGGCTTAATCTGCGACTATCCTAAACCCTAAGCCCATAATCCTGAACCCCAAACCCTAAACCCCATGAGGACCAGTCCATCATCAATGTGCTTCATGGCCATCGGGAAGACTTTGGCTACGCTGGGCCCAGCCCGGTGATGATCCTTCCCTGCCGCTGGCAGGGCTTCCGAAACTTCGAGGATCTGCAGACGTAAAGCCTTACATAGGACAATCCTGACACCCCTTATAAACACTAAGCAAACCATAACCCCAAACCCTAAACCCTGCTTTTAAAAGCCCTAAACCCTAAACCCTAAACCCTGTTTTTAAAAGCCCTAAACCCTAAACCCTACACCGTTCGAAGCCCTGCGACAACTGTAGCAGCCCCTAAACCCTAAACCCTAAACCCTAAACCCTAAACCCTTAGCCGCTGTAGGCGCTGGGGTTTTGAGCAGGTCGGTCTTTCCGACCACCGAGTGGCTCTCCTATTGGAGACTGGGCCCGGTTGCTATTCTTTTAAAGGGTTCCTTAAAGGGTTCTATAAGGGCTACTATAAGGGTTCCTTAAAGGGTTCCTTAAAGGGTTCTATAAGGGCTACTATGAGGGTTTAGGGTTCTTTTAAAGGGTTCCTTAAAGGGTTCTATAAGGGCTAGGGTTTAGGGTTTAGGGTTTAGGGCTTTAGGGGTTTAGGGTTTTAGGGGTTTTGGGTATTGGGGTTTAGGATTTAGGGATTTAGGTTGAGAGTTTAGGCTTTGGGGTTTAGGGTTTAGAGTTTAGGGACTAGGGTTGAGGGTTGAGAAGCTTGAGGATGACGGGTTCAGGGCTGAGGGTTGAGAAGGTAGTCTAGTAATATAGAGTCCTAAAAAAGTTACCAATGTTATCCCTGAGGGCTCCTGATGATAACTAGTCTCTAAACTGGCCCAAAGACCCTAAACCCTAAACCCCTAACCCCTACAGTGGGGCTTCGGGTTTTGGGGATCTGGGGAGGGTTTGCGCGATAACCCGCCTTGGAAGGCCAGAGAATCCCCTTGCCCTGAATCCTAAACCCCTAAACCCCTAAACTTCTAAGCCCCTAAACCCCCTAAACCCCTAAACCTTAAACCCTTAAACCCCCTAAACCCCTAAACCCTGGAATGCCAACAGAGTCTCTTGAAAATCCGAGCCCACCGCTTCCTCTAGCCTCGGGCGCAGCACGGAAGCTGCAAGAGCTGCCAAGCCCACATGAAACTGCCCTAAGCCCTGAAGGGTTTAGGGTGTAGTACTCGGGTTTAAGACTAAAGCCCTGAACTCTAAACCCTAAGCCCCTAAAGTCCTAAACTCCAAACCCTAAAGTCTTAAACTCCATAAACAGATGTCAGGAACAGCCCTGAGAAGTGGCTAGACGAGCTTCGCGACAAGCGCCGCTATCCTGGGATCATCTCCATACACCATGTTGAGGCCTTGTCCTTAGGGCCTTAGGGTTTAGGATTTAGGGTTTTAGGGTTTAGGGTTTAGGGTTTAGGGTTTAGGGTTTAGGGTTTAGGGTTTAGGTTTAGGGGCCCGAGAGGGACATAAGCATATGCATTGTATAGGGATATCCCTAGCTTATTGGACTTCATTATAAGGGGGGGTGTAGATATGATGTCCCTATTCTTTTTTTTGCTTCTGTGCTTTGTTGAGACCTTGTCCACAGAGGGGAGTGGGGTTCGGGGTCCTTTTCCGAATAAGCCTAAACCCTAAGCCCTATACCCTATAAACCCTAAAACCTCAACCCCTAAACCCTAAACCCCTGAACACTAAACCCTAAACCCTTAACCCTAAACCCCTGAACACTAAACCCTAAACCCTAAACCCTAAACCGTGGGATGTAGAGTCGGTGGTAGCTCTCCTAAACGCTAAACCGGAAGCCCTGCTGTGGTGGATGACACGGGAGGTAGAGTTGTTCAAGAGGTTTAGAGGTTTAGGGTTTAGGGTTGAATGTTCAGTTTAGGGTTTAGGGTTTAGGGTTGAATGTTCAGTTTAGGGTTTAGAGTTTAGGGTTTAGGGTTGAGCCTTCAAGTGGCCGAACCCTCGCGTTCTGACATCTGCCAAGATGCGAAACCAGACCCGCGGCCCGAAAGCTTCAAGTCTGTATGCCCAAGACCTTCAAGCACTAGATCCTTAAACGGTTTAGCGTTTAGGGTGTAGGGTTTAGGGTTTAGGGTTTAGGGTCCCTAAACCCTAAACCCCTCAACAACACAAGACGAGAAGATCTGTCCACCACACCCCAGTGGTTTGAAAGGGCGACTTGCAAAGATGTCCTTTGCCGTATCCAGAGCCCTTTTATCTCATTCATATATATATATATACATATATATATATATACATATATATATATATATATATATATCGATTCTTGTGATTAGTAGTATCGTCGAGGTTTTCTGCCCCGACGACATGGATCTCCTGTCGGCTTGGGCTTTCTTGCCGCTGAAGTCCACGGAGGACGAATCCAAGCAAACACGAATGCGCCCCACGTCCCTGTTTGACTAGAATCACGGGTTTAGGATTTAGGGTTTAGGGTTTAGGGTGACTAGAGTAGAGGGCGGCCATGAGGGTGTTACGGGATGTTTATGATGTTGTTTATGCTGTTTTGAGTTTTATAGGGTTTAGGGGGCTTGATGGTTTTAACTAGGGTAGACTGTAGTAGAATTACATATACAGGGACTACAAAGGGACATTAGTACGACTTATTCAGACTTCTATATTAGATCAGTTAGGCAGTTAGGCTTCGATGTTTAGGGTTCAGGGGTTTTGGGTTTTGGGCTGTCTTGTTGTAACCGGGTGGGGCCTCGTAGTTTTCCTTGAGGCTTTACTGAGGATCCTGTTCGTAAGTAGATTCAGTAGATCCTACGGCCGAGGTCTCTATGCACACTACCACGGTACGAAGCAGGAGCGATACTGCTCGAATGAGCGGACTCAACGCTGCTGCCGCTGTGGGGAGCGCGCCTCCTTGCTGCTCTGTCGCACCCACAAGCTTCGGCCCACCTTTTTCTCTTAGGTTTCGAGTTGTTGGGTTCGCGGTTTAGGGCCTAATTAGGGCTAGGGGCCTTACATTTGCACGCAGCAACGCAGCAACAAAAAACTTTGCCTTCGAACAGCCAGGCTGCACATCCCAGGGGACATGAAGAATTGGCAGGCCATGCGCGCACTTCTGCAAGCATATATGCCACCGTGGAAGGAGGCCCCCGACGACCCCTTGCTCAATCCGTCCTCGATGCTGGGCTATTTAGGGTCTTGGGTGTACTGCCGTTTTTGACAGTGTCGCTTTCCGCGTCGTCATTGTCGTAAGAGGCTGTAATGCGTGTAAACAGCCGTAGCAGTATATGGCAGCAGTTGTGACTAATTCTCATGATCTTGCTCCTTATGCACCTCTTTTCACATTGTCTCGACTCACAAACAACACTGCTTCAATTTGAGTGCACGACGGACGCTTGTCTCCAATTGCAACCGAGGAAGGTATGGTCTGGTGGTGAGACTCGCATCCAGCAAATAATTTCAGACACCGGCCAACAAGCTCTTCTGGTTGCGAAAGCCATGGGACTGGAAGCGGTCTTCGAGTCATGTGCTACGCTGTTGCTGGACTCTGATAGCAGCCTTTAAATTGCGGCACACGGTTTCATGTTTAGTATTTGCGGTCTCTGGCGATTGGGACTATAAGTTATAAGGTCTGGAAACTAAAAAACCCTAAACCCTAAA